GAAAAAAGAGAAATAATGGTCCTGTTTGTTAACATGTCCAGGCTTCAAGGACAGAATAACATTTTCAGTAGAACAGAGGAAGTATATAAGTACAGTTTTCTACTTTAGCATTATCCTTTCATTTCAAAAAAATCTAGAAAATCAATCAATTCATGTTATGTAAGTGTAAATAAATATGAATAGGTACTTAATTAAAAACCTATTTTGAAAAAGGAGAGAATAAAGAAGCACAATAAGTATTTGATAAACTGAACTGAAAAGAAGAGGGAAATGACAGATCTTAGCTCTAGAAGGACCTTAGACTAAGATGAAATTTCCTGAACTTTCATTTTATTGATATAGAATAGAAGGGAAAAGTCCAAGAGGAAGAAAAGAGAACGTGAACTTCTGCTCCCATGTAAATGGTTCAAAGTTAGATTAATTACCAGGAAATGAGTCTCAGGTTTGCTACTACTGCAGAACTGAGCCCTCAGATGGCCTCATTCAGACACCCACATAGCCCGCTCTTCCTTTAGCACTACATCAGTTACCTGTGAGCCAAAAGCCAAGGAATCCCAGAGCACTACCCCCCACATATTTTTTTTTCCAATATTGTTTTGTAGAATAAAAAAGAAGGCAGGCCTAGGCAGATATTAAGCATGTGAGGGCTTCCCTGGTGGCGCAGTGGTTGAGAGTCCGCCTGCCAATGCAGGGGACGCGGGTTCATGCCACGGTCTGGGAGGATCCCACGTGCCGCGGAGCAGCTGCGCCCGTGGGCCATAGCCGCTGAGCCTGCGCATCCGGAGCCTGTGCTCGGCAACGGGAGAGGCCACAGCAGTGAAAGGCCCGCGGCCCTCGTACCACAAACTTCTCCTAAGCAGAAACAATAGCCTATTGCCATTAAGATTGATTCCCATTTCTTAAGGTTTGAAAGGCTCTTTGACCAGATTTAATTAGAGGGTTTTATATGAGAGAACAAAATATCTGAAGTAATGCAAGTCTCAGATAACATTTAAGTCCAATGTACTATTTTGAGACTGTTTCAATTGAAGACGGTTAGCAACAATCCTTTTTCAACTCCTGTAAACTGCTACACCTACCCTTCTTTAAAGAATCCCATCATGCCCTCATGTTGCTCAGTGGAAATGGTAGAGGTGGGGTATCTATTCATTGTACCATTAAGTAAAAGCAAAAAGATTACCTTCTGATTTTACCACCCCCATCCCTGCCTTGGACCCTTCCAGGACCATAATTTACTCTGAGATAATGTGCTTATTCCACAAGTGCTTAAATTTGAGTAGCTTAGATCCTCTCTAAATCATACTTCAGACACAAAAAAGAGTGTATAGAAGAGTCTGGATATACTAGTTAAAAATTGTTATTCTAGACCCCTCCCCACCAAAAAAATTAAAACATAAGGTAAAACTTGTAAGGAAAGGAAATTCTAAATACAAAGCAAATGTCAGTCACTTTCAAATGATCTACTTGTTTGTTCTTTATCCATCTGTCTCTCTACTCCTTTCTGGGAAGGGCCCTTACTTCCTCATCTTAAATGGCTCCTGGTTAGTACTAAAAGATAAAAATAAGCCAGCCAAATCACAACTCCTGGTCACTTCCTAGAATGAGGAGGTGTAACACAAACACAGTCCAGGACAAAAGAAGGAAGCTTTCTTGTGATACATATACCATAGGATATGCTGAAACACTGTGTCAAATTTATACGAATTTTTGATAGTTAAGAAAAGTTCACATTTGCTATCATTCCCTTAAGCCATGTCTTCTATACTCCCAAAGGATATTAATTTACTCTCTTTTGCCACCAGGAGTATTTCATTGTGAAAGTCCAAGAAGTACCGGTACAGGGGAAAATAAAAACCCAGCAACCCTGAACCTGGTGTCATACCATGGGGATTAAAGTCCCAGATCTACTCCCGACATACTAACCATGTGACCTTGGCCATCTCACTTACCTCTCATTTTCTTGACTGAGATCACACCACTTATGATTTTCTGTACCTCTTAAAATATGTTTCTATTCAAATGCAAGGTGTAAGTAATATTTTATTTATGATCTAAGTGGTTTAGTCTAAGGCAAAAGATATAGAAGCCCTGAAAAAATATAAACTTATACTTCAAAAAGCATGATCTTGCTCCCATGTTAAATTTTCCTTCCTTCTATTGCATTAAAAGAAATATGAAAAAAAAGAGAGATATGAGATTAGTGGAGCAACACATAGTTTTCTGTAGTGTCATGGGATGGAAAAAACTAAGGGTGAGTAATTCGTAGTTAAAGTTATAAGGAGTTACAAAAGACTATACTTAACCCCTTGAGAAGAAGCAAGAATGGTCCTACGAATTAAAAGAAGATTGGATTCCTTCCTGATAATTGTTGGAGAGGCCAAGACCAGGGCATAACAAGTTCGTCCTCCACAACTATGCTGCTTTGGCAAACAAAAATTTTTCTAGTTCACTGTCTGATCAAAATGTTAAAAATGGATCTGTCCACCAAAAAGTAGGAAATCTGCAGTGCAAATAAGTAGAGGACCTGGATGACAAGTTCAAAGATCACCAGACACTCTGCAAGAAAAGCAAGTATTTCAGGACAGCAGAGTAATTTGCTAATTTGGAAGTGCAGTGGCACAATGCTACTTTATTTAGGCATTCTTTGACAAATCCAAACATGTGAGTAAAAGTAAAATTAACTGTCAAAAAGGAAGAACATTTTCAAATGTTCTCAGCTAGAGCTTAGTGGTATTGAGGGGCTTTCTTTTCCTCCCAATAGCAATAGCACATTGTTGGCCCAAGTGAAGCTGTTATTTGTACAAAAACCTTTTGGACAATCCATGAAACAGAGTTGGTCAAACTAACTCTTGAGATAAGGACCCTGCAAATGGTTATGAACATATGATCTGCATTACAGTTAGTCTTGGACAAAATGATCTTTATCAGATTTTGTCTTAAGTTTATCCAAGTCTTGACATTTGAATATTGTTTTTGCTCCAAAAAAATTAATGTGCTAATAACAGTTTTTTGAAATAGAGACAACTACAGAGATTATAGATGAACATTTATCTTCAGTTATCATAACACTAGTACAGTTTTAATAGAAGGTTGGAGGTAATATCTATTTAAATTAAATTAAGAAAAAGAAAAGAAGTTTACTTTTTCTGAGAAAGCAAATTGATATTTTTCTTTGATTTCCTTATACCTTGGAATGAAGGTCTGCTATTAAAACTTTCAATAAACCTTTAAAGTAAACTATACTATAAAGCAATATTAAGTTTGGTCTTTAATGAGCCATTTTTGCTATTTTATAGGCATTCAAAAATGATAATGCATCCCCAAATGATAATGCATCCCCTAGTCATACTCTCCTAATACTGCCAACAAAGACATGGGGATGCATATCCATTGTCAGACAACATGGTACATGGAACATGAGCTGAGTTCTTGTACCGTCATTGACACTAATAAGCTCTGTGATCCTTAACCTCTCTTGATCTCAATTTTCTTCATTGTAAAACTAATGTACTTGAGGAGATTGTGTTTCTAATTTTTATTTGTTCAGTCTAGATAATATTTAGTGTGCATTTAATTTCATGAACTCCCCTAAGAATCTGTAGCCCATTAGTGGTGACCTCCGAACAACACATTCTTTAAGAATCTTACCAAAATTCTTTATTCTAGAGGTGGGGCAAAGAAGGGGAATGGGGAGGAAAGACATACAAACACTACTTACTTTTCAAAAAAATGTCTGATAATTATCAAGCCAAAAGCATATGGAATGGTCATACATAAATGAGAGGGTTTCACAAAGACGAGTCCATCATGATCTTCAAGATCTGACCACTTTATTGTTGGAGGAAGCCAGAATCTTTCCAACCAAAACCATTCTTTAAACATCTGAAACATTCTAGAGAGATGGAAGAAGAATACATTAGACTTATAGAACAAATACTTAAAATTGAGACAACATTGACACCTTTAATCAAAATACCTAAACCCGAGAGTTTAGAACACAGGGTACTACTATTGAACAGAACGGAGCACTATTATTTACCGGGCTCCATGGAGCTTCATTGCATTAAACAGGAATTACTCTGCCAACACTCTCAGAAGAATTTCGGCTGTGGCATGGCAAGCTGAAGTTTGATACACCACTGTTCACACTCTTGGCACAACATGTGTTAATATTATGGGTATGTGTCTTCCTCTTATATGTTTCTATCATATGAAACTTAATCTAACAATAATCTCTACAACTTCAACATGCCAAAGGCCAACCTCATGAAAGCTCCAAGTATGTATAGACCTTCGCTGGTATCCTAAGAACTTCTCCAGGAGATAAAGGGCAAGCATATTTAACTTTGTATCACAATAAAGAATTCGAATTAGTCCATGTCAACAAATATTTACAGAGATTCTATTATTTGTCAAGCCCTGTGCTAGGCACTGAGGATGCAAAGATTAAAAAGACAGCTTTCTTGCCTTAAGGACCTTATATTCTGTGGGCAAGGCAGGCCTGACAGACGACTCTGACACACTTTTTTCAGGTACAATGAAACAGGTTTGTAGTGGGTGCTGTGGGAACAAGGTGACCAGCACTGAGCCCAGCCAAGATGCGTCGGGAAAGCCCACTGGAGCAGATGATCTTGAACAATGTTCAAGATGTCTTAAACGGTAAGTGGAAGTAAACCAGAGAAAGGCAGGAAAATGGGAAAGAGAGAATAGAAGTTTTAAGGAGAGAAAGTACACTGATCAAGTAACCAGAAACATAGAAGAACATTTAGATGCTCCAATCTCATCATTTAGGCTATGACAATTTTAATCTTGACATTTTGACCTTGAGGATGTTTTGATGTAATCCTTTAACAGTTAATCAGACAAAGAAGTCAAACGTCCACAGATTCACAGCAGGGTGGTCAAAATAACTCTGTCAAAACCTCTTGATTTGTAAATACCAGGTGCCCATGGAACACCACCAGCAGTGTGGTTCCACCACAGCCTAAGAATCCAAGGTGTGGGATGCTGGGTCACACACAAGTGCCCAGAGTCTCGGTTTATTGTCCTGGCATAATTAATAATAGTGCCCCTTCCTTTCATAAGTGTCCCAGTTTGGGTAATAAATCATACGGTAACTCTCATCAAAAGGCTGGTGAGGGCTTCCCTGGTGGCGCAGCGGTTGAGAATCTGCCTGCTAATGCAGGGGACACGGGTTTGAGCCCTGGTCTGGGAGGATCTCACATGCCGCAGAGCAACTAGGCCCGTGAGCCATAACTACTGAGCCTGCGAGTCTGGAGCCTGTGCTCCGCAACAAGAGAGGCCATGATAGTGAGAGGCCCATGCACCGTGATGAAGAGTGGCCCCCGCTTGCCACAACTAGAGAAAGCTCTCACACAGAAATGAAGACCCAACACAGCAAAAATAAATAAATTAATTAATAAACTCCTACTCCCAACATCTTCTTAAAAAAAAAAAAAAATGGCTGGTGAGACAGTTCAGACTTGGTCACAGAGTGTCTGCAATCCAGGCTAAGGAGCTTGGGCTTTAACCAGTGGAACCCAGGAAGAGTATTATGCAGAGGAATAAAATAATCAGATATTTTAGAAAGGTTGCTTGGGCAGCCAGGTCCTCTGAGAGCCCACGTGGTATCTTTGTGTCGATTAGAGGATGGTGTCCCCTCTGGGCAGACACAGCCCTTCTTGCCAGCAGAATGAGATCTGGGTTTCAGCCTCCAGAACCCTCGGCCAGGCACACACATGGCTGCTCTCTGGCAGCAATATGGAGTACATTTCAGGACACAGGAAGACTGAAGAGCAATTAGGAGTTTGAAGCACTAAATATGGTCAGAAATTGGAAGCTGCAGAGAGCAGCGGTATCAGGCAGCTGAACCTGCTGATCACGCCATTTATGAGATTACACATGAGATCCAAACTGGGTAGAGAATAAAGAGAGACCAAGAAAGAAATGAGAAGGAGGGAAAAAAATACAAAGCTCAAGGGACCAGAGGCCAAAGAACAAGTCTGGTGGAAGTGGGACCCAAGAGAGCAGAAAGACTCAATCAGAGGTGAGGATCAGAGTGGAGTATCAACATTACAGATTTCTGATTTCAGATGAAGAAGAATTCCAGAGTGTGGACCTCAATATGCTTCAGAAAAATCCACACCAAAACCAAATAACTAACCATGGTGAGATATTTCCTACTTTATTTCATTTCTCATCTGCTGCTCAGAGACACGTGCGTGCAAAGTAGCAGGAAACCGGTCACACCCACACCTGCAAGCCTTGTGTGGAGAAGGAGAGGGGCTGCCTTCTTTTTCATGTATTAATCATTTTACTGTAACTTCTACCCTGGAGGAGGGTAAGTAGCATTAATACAGTAGCAAAATTGTGCAAATATGGTGGAATAAAGATCATCAGGAAATATTTACTGAATACTTTCTATCAGTCTTTGGGTCTACAGAAAGGAAAGGGATGATCCTAGACTTCAGGGAGCTTACAACTGAGTCAGGACTGACCTGGATTTGGACTAGGGAGGAGACAGTGAGAACTGATGAAAGAGTTGTTAGGAAGGAAGAATTAACACACTTTGGAAAGGGAGCTGAGGATTCCAGCCTGGCTGCCTGGGCCATCTGACATAACTAACCAAAGAGGGAATTAAGAGAGGAAATCTGCATTGAAGTGCACAGCCAGATTGGGTCAGAACAAGAGCAGGCACAATTCTTTGAGTGAGACTACAGCTAAAATTCAAAATTCCTACAGATCTTAGAAATGAGCCCAGGTCACGGGAGTCTCTCCTGTAATGGACAAACCTTGTACCGTGCCTGTGTCCCTCACTGCATCAGAACGATCTACTCCTGCAAGGGGAGATCTATTTCTTCCTAAAAGTTTGCCTTAGCATGTTCATTACTATATTAGCTCCAAATTTAATAGACTATGACTCAGGGAACAAATAGCAATGGCAGTGAGTTAGTTCTGATACTATTATAATAATCATTATACAAAATAGTTTGCTCACTCCTAAAATGTAACTCCAGGCAGTAAAGATTATTTTGTCCAGTGTGAAATATAACTAAATAAACAGCTTACAATGGTTATACAGGGGTTGCCACGCTAAATAATATGCAAGCAATGAAAAAAGATTTGTTGAAAGCCTAGTAACTTTAGTATCAAACAACCAAAAACATATATGGGGAGAGAGAAAGAACTCAGAAGTTAAGGGTGGCCCCCTGGTATATGTAGTTCAAATTGAGAAAAAAAATCTACACTATTTCCTCTTTCTTCATGTGCTGCCACCAAACATCAATTACTGCTGCTTCAAAAGAGTTAAGAATCTCTTCTTCACAGGACATACAAAAATTAACTCAAAATGAAGCACAGATCTAAATATAAGGGCTAAAATAATAACACTCTTAGAATATTATTTAGGAGTAAATCTTCAACACCTGGGGTTAAGCAAAGCCTTCTTGCATATGACACCCAAAGCACAAACAACAAAATAAAAAATAGATAAATTGGACTTCATCAAAATTAACACATTTTGTGTTTCAATGGATACCATCAAGAAAGTTAAAAGACAATTCATATACAGAGTGTGGAGAAAAGGGAACACTCTTGCACTGTTGGTGGGAATGTAAATTGATACAGCCACTATGGAGAACAGTATGGAGGTTCCTTAAAAAACTAAAAATAGAACTACCATATGACCCAGCAATCCCACTACTGGGCATATACCCTGAGAAAACCATAATTCAAAAAGAGTCATGTACCAAAATGTTTATTGCAGCTCTATTTACAATAGCCAGGACATGGAAGCAACCTAAGTGTCCATCGACAGATGAATGGATAAAGAAGATGTGGCACATATATACAATGGAATATTACTCAGCCATAAAAAGAAATAAATTGAGTTATTTGTAGTGAGATGGATGGATCTAGAGTCTGTCATACAGAGTGAAGTAAGTCAGAAAGAGAAAAACAAATACCATATGCTAACACATATATATGGAAGCTAAGAAAAAAAAAAAAGGTCATGAAGAACCTAGGGGCAAGAAAGGAATAAAGACACAGACCTACTAGAGAATGGACTTGAGGATATGGGGAGGGGGAAGGGTAAGCTGTGACAAAGTGAGAGAGTGGCATGGACATATATACACTACCAAGCGTAAAGTGGATAGCTAGTGGGAAGCAGCCGCATAGCACAGGGAGATCAGCTCGGTGCTTTGTGACCACCTAGAGGGGTGGGATAGGGAGGGTGGGAGGGAGACACAAGAGGGAGGGGATATGGGGATATATGTGTATGTATAGCTGATTCACTTTGTTATAAAGCAGAAACTAACACACCATTGCAAATCAATTATACTCCAATAAAGATGTTAAAAAATTTTTTAAATTAAATAAATAAATAAAAGTCTCCTTCTCAGCTTCATCCTCCTTTAACTTTTATATCTTTTAATCCATGACTCAGCCTGAACTTCATGCTAAAGCTTCCTATCATCTCATTTAAGGGTCTTGAGTTTTACCTCCCAAATTCACCTGAGTCAAGGTTGTGTCCATGGGAAATTCCCAGGCGGTGCAGTGGTTCGTGCTCCGCACTTTCACTGCCAAGGATGCGGGTTTGCTCCCTGGTCAAGGAACTAAGATCCCACAAGCTGTGCGGTGCAGCCAAAAAAAAAAAAAAAAGATTGTGTTCATTAACCCAGAAAAATAAATAGTGAAGGAAAGACTATATCCAGATTCAGACTTCAGCATGATTTTAAAGTTAATGGCTTTCTGGGAGAAAATAAAAATTTCATGCTTTAAAAAGTAAAAACAGACTAACTCCTCTGAAGGAGAAATGGCTCTCTCAGATGACAGACTTTGGTATAGAGTGTTCAGGTCAACAGTCTAGCTCTGGGCAGTGGGCTTTACTCA